TGGGAAGGTGAAGGCAAGTAATGGCTTCATGGTTGCCATGAAGGCTGGGGTCAATCTCAAGACATTTGAATGTTCCAAACCAAGCTTGGAGGCAGCTGTTTCCAAATGGCTGCTCCCATCAGATACAAAGATGATGTCTCCTGGGCTCTTGTCACACTAAAATAGGTCAAGGGCGATCCAGGAAAGTTACATTTGTTCCAGGTAAATTAGTAGAAGCTGTCTTTAAAGATGGAAGTATCAACTTATCACGAAACAGAGTCTGCTGAGACACAATCTGTGTGGCTTCTGGAAAGGGTAGTCTTGGTTCACCTATCTCTTGGAGTTCTACGAGCAGGTTAACAAGCAAAAGGATAAGGGCAGTCTGGTAAACATAATTTACTTGGACTTCCAAAAGGGTTTTGACAAAGTACCTCAGTAGACACTCTTAAGTTTATCAATCATGGGATAAGAGGACTGGTCCTCTCGTGGATTAAAAGTTGGATAAATGGCAGGAAACAGAGAGTAGGAAACATGGAATTCATTGCCACAGGAGGTGGTGGCAGCTACAGGCATGGACAGCTTCAAGGGGGAATTAGATAAGCATATTGAGCAGAGATCCATCAGTGGCTATTAGCCACAAGTATAGATGGGAACTCTGGGGCAAGTGATGCTCTGTATTCTTGGTGCTTGGGGGGGCAACAGTGGAAGGGCTTCTAGTGTCCTGGCCCCACTGCTGGACCTCCTGATGGCACCTGGTATTTTTGGCCACTGTGTGACAGAGTGTTGGGCTGGATGGGCCTTTGGCCTGATCCAACATTAGCTTCTCTTATGTTCTTATGAATAGTTTTTGCAATGAAGTGAGCAGCGGGGTCTCAAAAGGATTAGTACTGGGACCAGTGCTATATATTTTGTTCATTAATTATTTGGAATTGGGGCAGAGCAGTGTCGTAGCCAAGTTCGCAAACCATACTAAGTGACTAGGGATGATGAAAACCAAGGTGGGATGTGAAGAGCTCCAGGAGATGAGTGGGCAATAGGGCTGCCAAGCCGCGGCAGGGATCCTGTGAAGACGCACGGATCCCCCACCGTGGCTTGGCAGCCCTAGTGGGCAACCATATGGCGAATTGAGTTCAGTGTGTCTTATACCTCTAAAGGAACTCAAAGGAGAGATTGTTAATTTTCTAACAAAAATGTGCAGTGTCCTTAAAACAGCCTCCTTTCCAGAGGACTGGAAGGTAGCACATTTTTAAAAGGGGATCCAGACAAGATCCGGAATACGTATCAGTATCATTTGCTTGAGGTTAAATGGTGGAAACTCTGAAGCTAGAATGATTAAGCACGTGGGTGAATGGACCCTGCTTGTTAGACATCACTTCTGTAAAGGGAAGTCCTGTTTCACCAGTCTTTTGGGGTACTTTTTGAAGGATTATCACAAATATGATCGAGTAGATAAAGAAATGTTAAAGCATTTATATCCCGCCTTTCCTCATGGTATCTTATAATACACGAATGGTAACAATAAAACCCCCAGTTCCTCCTAATCTGATAAAACCTAATAACACAAAATAAAACACCTGCAACCCAATAGCCATTTAAAAGCTCTGGTGAATTCTAAAGCTGCGAAGGTAGGACGAAGTCACCACCATCACCATGGTTGATTCTGAGTGGGGAAGTTACTTCTCCAAAATTTAGGGTTTCATGTGTAGAGCCTTGTTTTAAGGAACCGTTTGTTTCCCTTGCCTTTATGGCTTTCAGATTTCACAATACCAAATATTGTTTATGTACTCTGAAAATGTGGATCACAGTTTTGATGAGGCATTTTTTTTAAAGTTTTCATTTAGAAGAACCTAAAAGCAGCCATGCAAGGTCACAGGAATGGTCCACTTAATTCAGCATCCTTTTTCCTGGAAGGTCTGCAAAGCCAGGACATAGAAACCAAAGCCTCCACCTGCTGAAGGCTCCCCCCCAGCACTATTTTTCGGAGAGCCAGAGGTCATTTCGGGGGGGATCGCGGGGGATCGCAGTTCCCCCGGGTGAGGTACGGGGGTGGGGCACATGACAAAGCCCCGCCCCCTGCTTCCGGCTGCCCCGCTTCCAGCCCTCATTCAGCCAGGAGGAGGCAGGAGAAGAGGGAGGGTAAGTTGCTTCCTCCCTGCCTCTCCCCACCCCTGCCTGCCTGGGGCCAGGGAGGGCCTTCGCGGGGCTTCCTTGCACTCCCGCTGGCCTTGCAGGTCCACCGCCGGGCCCCTCATGGGGCTCGGCAGTGGAGCTGCAAGGCCGGTGCCGGCGGCCGGGACCGTTGGGGGCGGGGGGTGGTGGCCTTATGACACACTTCCGGTGACGTCAGGGTGTGTGGCATATGCTAATGAGTTATGCTAATGAGTTCCCCTAGCTCTTTTTCTACGAAACGACCCCTGCGGAGAGCTACTCAGAGAGTTCAACCCCTGTCTGAACCTTACCTTCCTTCCAATGTATTTGAAAATGAATAAAACTTTCTTGGTCTTAAAGGTGCCACTGGACTCTAAATTTGTTCAGAGAGCTGCTCTTACTGAACACAGAGGTTCCATTTAGGCATTGTGATCAATAGCCATTGATGGTCCTATCATCCATGAACTTGTCCAACCTTTTGAAGGCAACTAACCTAGCAACCATCACTACATCCTGTGGCAGCAAACTTTCTAGGTGAAGCAGTATGTCCTTTTGTCTGTCATTAATCTGTGGTCCAACAACTTCCTTGGGAGCCCCAAGTGCCAGTAATATGGGAGAGGAAGTTCTCGCTATCTCTTTTCTGTTCACCACACATACTTTAACAAAAATCTCTATCATATCATCCCTCTGTGTCTTTCCCCAGTACTAAGAAGTCAGACTCCTTAGCCTTCCCTTGTAAGGAAGGTGTTCCTACCCCCTGATGATTTTGATTGCCATTTTCTGAGGGCACTACTTTGGGTGTAACAGTAACACTATCTTTTGAGATGCATTGACCAAACTGGACCCAGTATTCCAAGTGAGGCTGCACCACTAATCTAGGCAAGCACACTCTGGTACTGGCTATTTTGTTTACAATTTCTTTTCTTTACAATTCCTGGCACAGCTCTATTCAACTTCCATGTTTGATGTGACCATAAGAGTCAAGGATGCCTTTGGATTTGACACGTCACTTGATCTTGGGAGATGATCTCTGGAAGATTCATCAGCTGCCTTCAGTTGATGATTAGCTTCATCTGTCTGCCAGTCTGCTATTCTTTGAGTAAAAAATTATGACTGGCAATCAATGTTCCCTCTAAGCTGAGTTAGTGTGAGCTAGTTTACAGTTTTGTAGCCTCTTGTCTTAGCTCAGGAAGGGTGGCTCCAGAACAAACAAACTGCCAAACTTTAATGCCAGTAGCTCACAAAGTAGAATTTTTGCTCACAAGACTCCACAGCTTAGAGGGAGCATTGCTGGCAATGGATGGATAGCAAGGAAAGGGTATGAGAAAAGTTCAGTTGAGAGGGAGAGCCATGATTCAGCCAAAGTTGTGTGTGTGTGTGGCTTTAAGGAGGGATCCAAAAGGAGAAAGAGGGAGAGGGGATACCTCATGTATGTTCACAGAGGGACTGATCGCTCAGCAAAATGTTTGATGTTTGTAAATGTCTGTTGAGCCCCTTCTGATTTGCTTTTGATGCCTGACAGGGAAGGGAAGAAATAACGGTCTGTGTGTCAGTGAAAAGAGTTATGTAGGCCTCTGAAACCCTAACCCTCTTGACTATTATTATTCAGCCGTCTGCCACAAGTTTTTAAATGTACCTTTCTAGCCAGAGGGCTGGAAATACATGCGTCTTAAATGAAAGTTGTAATTTTCAGCCGTCTGAATCCTTGGAATGGTATCCTGTTCTTTGCTTTCATATGTGTGTATTTAGCGCTACACTGCAATCCCAATCAATAAGAATGTGTGTGTGTGTGTACACGCACACAAGTGGGAGACCCTCAAGGACTTGCAGGGGTGTCTCATTTTCCTCTTCCCCGCTATTTTCTTTTTCCCTTTCCTGAAAGACCCCCAAAGTGTCTTCCATTTCCCTGCTGCCTTTTCCCCTTCCCAACTACCTTTATCTGGCCCACTGTCTTCATTTTTCCCCTCCTTCCCTCCCCTTCCCTTGGCAGCCTCTTCCTGGGAAAAGTGTGGCCCAGTTGTGCCGTGCTAGCCCAGCTGCTGGTCTGGACCCAGTTTGACAGTGGGGGAACCTGCAAAAACATGTGGGGAGCACCTTACTTTCCCCTGTATCTTCTACCTAGTAGTCTCCATATCCTCACCTTTCCACAGTTCCTCTTTTTCTACGTACCCAGCCACCCACGCACCAACCTTTTATCTGCCCCCCATCTTCAACTCTACTTATTATTTATTTACTTCATTTATACTCTGACATTCTCCACAATGGGGAACCCAAGTAGATTATAGCAGTCTTCTCTTCTCTATTTTATCATCACAACAACCCTGTGAGGTATGTTAGATTAGCCCAAGGTCACCTAGCTTCCATGGCAGATTGAGGATTAAAACCTGGGCTTCCCAGATCCTTGTTCAAAGCTCTCACTGCTACAGTACACTGGCTTTGGTGGGATGGCTGTTGTTGAACAGTAGTGAGCAGCTGAGCCTCGGTAGGTCTTGCAAATCATGTAGTAGCAAGTTGCCCAGGGTTGCTGCCAGGCCTGGCCCCAATGAGTCTTCCCTTAGACCAAACCAACACTAGAAAGGGCAGAAACAAAGGCTTGAAGGCTGGCAATAATGTGGTTGCCTGGCAACAACCACTGAGAACATTTCTTAAAGCTACGTGTGTTGCTTCTATTGTTAGGGGGCGGTTAACTCATCAATGTATTTTTTTTATTTTGGATTTTTCTGCAAACCTGAGACTTTCTCAGGTTTGCGGAAAGATATGTTTTGTCTGTCTATTGCCTCAGTCTCTGGATTTAACTATCCACATATGGGACCATGTTACGAGTTCGCTATAGTAATACATTGAATGACGATTTGTATTTTCTGACTTTTCAGTTGTATATGAGCATCGGTCAAGATTAGAAAAGTCTTTACAAAAGGAGAGGCTTGAACACAAGAAAGCAAAAGAAGGTAATGGCTTAAATTTCAGTTGACTTTGCAAGGCTTTTTGCTTGGTTAAATATGGATGCAGTAGATACTTTGCATACACCTTAACTGCTCTAAGCACTTGTAAAATTCAGGGCTTTCTACAATTTAGCGAGCACCTTGGGTAGATGACGATTTGCCATAGTTCTTATAGACCACTAACGATAAGCAGGGTCTTCATTTTCAACTGGAAACCGTTTACTGTGCTAAAACAAAAAGTTATATCTGTTTCAAACACTTTTGCTCAGTAGATAAATTCTCTTATGCAACTTAATGGTTTTGTGGTGCCATCTAGCGGTCAACAGTAAACCTCATATTATCTACAACAGCGTGTACTAAATTGAAGATGCATTTTTACTCTCGTACTCTAAAAGATCCATATTTTCTGATCCACTCTTATAACCCCTTTTCCCAGTCAGCTGGGAATGGGGTGTGTGTGCTTTCTGCACAACAATAAGAAGAGCATATGAAGCCACCGTTGACCAAAGCAGGCCCCTCATCTATCAAGGACAGTACATTGTTCTCTATCCAGTGTCACTGTATTGTGCATCTCTCACTGAAGCAGACCCTGGTGCCTAGCTCACGCACGTATGTGTATGTTGCTTCTTAACCGCCACATGAAGCGTGTGTGTGTGCGCGCATGGGCCATCCCAGAATGTTCAAAATTCCTCACATCACCGTAGATACGATGCTGAGGTTGGCTCACATCCTCGGCTGCCAGTTCCCAGATGTGTAGTAATTGTAAAGAAATCAAGAGCTGTGTGTGCAAGCTTATAAGGCAGAACATCTCATGGCTGTAAACTGATTACAGCCAAAATTTTGTTTGGACTAAAAATTTTGTTTGGACAAAATGTACCTTTCTCTGTTTGCATGTCAATATGCCACCTCTACTCTTCCTCCATCTTTATTTTTCAGATTTTCTTGTTTATAAATTGGAAGCGCAAGAGACACTAAATAAAGGAAGGGTAAGTGAGCAAACCCAGTCATTAAGAACTTATATGTGTAGATTTTGAAAAGTTACTTCGAGCAAGTTACTCCACTCGGGCAGGGAGGCCAGAAAGAATCGTGAGATTATAGCTACCAATCCTGAAACACAGGCACAGGTCCAGACATCTGGGCATCAAGTAGTCCAAAAGGGAAAAAGAAATAAGATTATGTGTCATTATGTGTGGGAACTCTACAGGTGCACAAACGTGGGCCTTGAAGCCAGTTAAAAGAGCACTCGGGTGAATGGTTTTGTCCCCTATTATAGGACAGGTGGAGGTGAGACTCTCTTTTTCTCCTGGCCTGTGAAGCAGGGAGGGGAGCAAAGGGGAGGGTCAGGTGTGTGTATACTGAGTGGATGAGGGCGAGGGGGTCCAGGGTTGTGGAGCAATTCCAAATAAGAGGAGAGCCAAGAGTTTGGTGGGCATTTCATACTGTGCAGATTGGTACTGCTGGGGTAACTCATCCAGAGGTGGGGAAGAAAACTGTGTGTGTGCGTGTGAAGTGCCGTCAAGTCATTTACAGCTTATGGTGTCCCTATGAATCAATGACCTCCAGAATGTCCTACTGATAACAAACTTGCTGAGACTTTGCAAACTGAGGGCTTCCTTTCTTGAGTCAATCCATCTCATGTTGGGTCTTCCTCTTTTCCTGCTGCTTTCAGGTTTTCCTGACATTTTCTTTTCCAGTGACTCTTGTCTTCTCATAATGTGGCCAAAGTATGATAAGCCTCAGTTTAGTTATTTGGGCTTCCAGGGAGAGTTCAGGCTTGGTTTGACCCAGAACCCAATTATTTGTCTTTTTTGGTGTTTGATGGTATCAGTAGAACTCTCCTCCAACACCTCAATCCAAACAAATCAACTTTCTTCACTGTCCAAGTTTCGCACCCATCCATAGTAATGGGGAATACTAAGGCATGAATGATCTTGGTCGCCATTGATACAATCTTACAGTTAAGGATCTTTTTCTAGCTCCTTCTTGACTGGCCTTTCCAGTCTTAATCTCCTTCTGGTTTCTTGGTTGCGGCCTCCCTTTTGGGTGACGGTTGAAAAAAATCTTTAGCAGTCCATCATCTTCAACAATTTCTTCATCATTAGCCTTAAAGGTGTGCAATTCCACAGCAGTCTCTTTGTCCTCTTGATGCTCAGCTGTAAACCTGCATTGGAACAGAACAGAGGCTGACCCAAATATGAGCCTGGATTCTGTTTAGGTGATGGAAATGCAAACAGTAGCAACTTTTGCCCATAGCTGATTAATTGCCAGGGACCTGAATGCCAAGCATTGGATGAGGTAAGACTGCTCCAAGAGAAATAGGTGTGGCCCTGCTTCTTCTGCTGGTTTGCTGTGATGTCCAGAGTAGTTGCTGAGATAGAAGGAAGCCAGTAATCTCAGCAACAAGATAGAAGCATCATGAACAAAATGGACGCAGTCTTGCTACCCATCTGTTCAGGAAGCTGTTAATACTGTCCTCTAACTATATACTGCTCTCTCTTTCCCGTTTTACAGCAAGATTCCAATAACAGATACAGTGCCCTGAATGTGCAACACCAGATGCTGAAGGTAGATATGAATTTCCGTAAAAATCCAATCTGAATCAGGTGTTTTTTTTGAAAAAATGGTGCTGACATTTAGCTTTAAATCTTATTTGACATTTGTTGTCAATTTTCAGTTAGAATATCTTTTTTACTTCAGGGAAGAAAGCCTCGTTGTGCAAAATGTTTCACAGTTATCCTATGCAAATGACTACCCAGCGGAATTGCTGGCTGTACCCTAGTTTAAGAGATTGGAAGCAGGACGTGACCTCATGAATTCTTCCCTCCCTCCTTCCCATCTTTTCTGGTACAAATTTTCCTCTTCCTTGGCTTCTTTGTCTATTTAGAAAAGTGTTATGCTGCCAATCCAAAAGACCTTCTCAAGGCGGCTGACAAAATAAAATACAGTAAAAACATAAAACATCATTAAAAGTTATTAATTAAAACCCATAATTAACCCCTCCCCCAGTCAGAGCATAAAGAAATAGGTCATTGAGCATCTTAAAATAATAGTTTTCAGACTAAAAGCACATTATAAAATGGTGCTTAAAACAGGGGTGTCAAACTCATTTGTTATGAGGGTCGGATCTGACATAAATGAGACCTTTTTGGGCCGGGCCATGTGTGTCATAAAATGTAATGCCAGGTAGCGGAGAGATAAACTTTATAAAGGACACAAATACAAAGGTAGGGTTTTTTTTTACTTAAAATAAAAACACACTTAAAACATTAGCAGTCTTGCAATATTTTGTTTATTTAACTGACACCTCTTGCTCTGAATTATTGCATCAAAATGTCTGTGCTGTTGCAGTCTTGAGTATGCTGTTCAGGTGTGTTTCTGTAAGCTGCAAACCTACAATGATGCAGCAGCAGCAGAACTGGAAGAAGAAGCAGAAGACAACCAGTTCCATTGTGGGCCTGATAGAAGCCCTCTGGAGGCTTGATCCGCCCCCCAGGGTACACGTTTGGCATCCCTGATTTAAAAGATTGACCCCTTAATTAAAAGCCCTGGTGAACAGAAACAGTTTGGCTTGGCGTCTAAAAGAGAATAATGAAGACCCCAGGCAAGTTTCAAGGGGAAATAAGTTCCCTAACCAGGTGCCACTACTGAAAAAGCCCCGTATCTGGTTGCCACATATTTTATTTATTTAATTCATTCATTCATTTCTACCCTGCGAAGCACAAAGAGGCGCAGACAATATGGAATTAGTCAGGGTTTAGCATTAAACCTTTCTCTATGATAACAGTGGTTAATGCTAATCGTGGGTCCCTTCTTAACCAAGCCTGCATCCCCACTGCAACGATTCTCCATTGTACTCATTGCCACTGTGGATTCGAAGGAACTTGCAGTGGCAATGGAGTGTCCACACAGGGTTATTCTCTGTTCTTTTCTTGGTTTCCCCTTGTGCCCACGAAAACCTCTCCTGAATCCCTACCACTGGAGGACTTTTTACCAGCTTTTGAAAAAAATCAATTGTAACTTTATATAGCGATGAGACAATTGCTACTTTTTTGTGTGGAAAGACTGATTGGGTGGAAGAATGACAGGCACAGCACAAAAATGGTAGCGATAGGGGCAGGGGAGGTCTGTATATCTGCACCTTCCATCCCACATAATAGCCAAACCCATTTTGACTGCCATCTTTCCCAAACCCATACCCAAGGAGGTTTGGGAAATAGCTCAGTGGAGCCAATACACCGTCCCCCAAGAAGGAGGGAGAAAAGGTGGAACAAAACATCCATGTGGAAGCAGCCCAAGCCATCTCTGGTTCGGAAAACTCATGCCTGTGCCAAGCCTAGACTGACCCGAGGACCAAGTTTGCTCTGGAAATCCAATTACGTATAGCTAACAGTCCATTTGGGTGCAGAACTCCTTTGTGATGGTGTATCCCATTTCTTTTTGTTTGTCCCACTTTGGAAGAGCCAACATGAAGAACTCAAGAAGGTGCACGTGGACCTAGAGGAGGAGCACCGGAAACAGGCCGAAGACTTCAGCAGAGCAGTTAATGATCACAAGCAGAGATACTTGGAGATGCAGCAAGAGAAAGGGCAGGAGCTCTCCAAGCTGAAGGGTATCGAGTTGTGTTCCTTAATTAGATTCGGCAGGCGGGAGGGTAGCCCGGTTCCTAGACCTTGCCCACCTGTATGGCACAGAACAAGTTTTCAGTCCTGCCAGAACATAATTAGGATTCCCTGCAGGGTGTAAATCACATCCCCCCCCTTCCCCCTTTTTGGGCTGTAGGATCAATTTCTGTTATTTGTATTGAATTTTTAATAGAATCTCTGTATAATCTGCGGGAAGAGAACAGGCAGCTGAGAAAAGCCCACCAAGATATTCATACGCAGCTTCAAGATGTGAAGGTAAGATTCCGATCTTCTAAAGTGAGGGAGGGATAAAATCCCTCCTCATTTGCAAAAGGGAATTAAAAAAAATAGGAACTGGAAAATAAAATTTTTTTGAAGGCCCAAACTACATGATACATTGTTCCTGGAGCCTTCCCTGGCTCTGCCGCAGGGACTATCAAGCAGAGGTGTACTGGGAATTCCTGGGTCAAACATGGGTCCCAGGCTGGGGGGGGGGGAGGAGTGCTGATTTGGATTGGGACTATGGGGAGAGGGGACTTTTAAGTCTTCCTTCCGTGCTGTGAAGGAGGAGGAGAAGGTGGTGGAGACTGAGAGCCCTCAGTCCAGGGATTTCTTTGCCGCCTGTGATGTTCCTGAGTTTTATGGGATTTCCTTTCTGCTCAGCACAGATTACATACCTTGTCCAGTCTTCGAGAACTTTTAAGTTGTTGGCTGTTTTGCATTATTTATTACACTTATACCTCATTCTTTTACTGAGTTACCCAGGGTCAGAACATCAAAATACAAAATAATAAAATTCAAGGCGCCCTCCCCCCCAAAAAAAATTTCAGTCCTGTATACAATTTCCCCTGGCAGAATTCCCCGGAAGCATAATTAGCCAGATGAACGACTAGCAGTCCAGCAGTAAATGTTTAATAATAAATTTGGATGACACCCCACAGTACAGCAACTATAAAAAGCAGAAAATCATCCTCAAGAGCCCAGTACATAATTGATGATACTGAATCCATCCCCTAGATCTCCGGAGAAGAACTGAGTCAGTGGAACGGCACTGATGGGAATGGAGAAAGGGAGGATTCCATCCCCCCTTCTCCCTGTTAGTTGCAGTTCCCGCGACCTTCCCACCTGGGTCCGGTGACCCCAGAAATCAGCTTTCCCAAGTCATAGAAGACTGCTGAGGGAAGGGGGAAGTGGAGAAGATCCAGTGGACTGCTGGATCCAGCACACTGCCTTCACCCTCCTCTGGAAAGCCAACAAAGAAAAGGCCCCTAGATAGAAGTTTGTCGATATGTAAATACATGTGTTTAATTTGATTCAATTAATTGATGAGAAGGCGAGAGACCAGACTGAGTTTTTAGTGAGCTGGCAGCTGTAAGAATTTATTTTTGCTTTTAAAGAGCGATCGGCCTTTGCCCTCGGTGTCTGAGGAAGAACAACCGGCGACCAGAGTTTGTTTGTTTTTTCTCTTGTGTAGCTGCAGCATAAGGATTTACTGTCCCAACATGACCAGCTTGTAGTGACTTTGGAAGAACACAAGAGTGCGCTAGAAGCTGCGCAGGTCAGCCAGGAGAGTGTTCTATGCATTCGCTCCGCTTTTAACGAATGGCAGTTCTTCTTCTTCCTAAAATTTCCTTCCTCTCTATTTCTGCCGACAGTGACTTTCTATGCATGCAAACCTTCTCCACGTGGGGAACTCCAGTTAACAACCTGCCCGTGCTCTTGGGGAGAGAAGAAGCATGCCTGAAAAAAAAATTCTGCTAAGCCAAAATTATAGCGCAGTGAATTATTTTTGTTTCTTGACAGCTCTGTTATGGACTGTTGTGAATGTATGTGTGGATAAAAGAGGCATCTTTCTTTCATGTCTCAGAGGCTGCAGTCTATGTCTTCAGTGGGTTTTCTCCTTCCCAGCTGCTGTAACTCTAGTTCTCTGATCTTCTATAGCTGGAGAGAATTCCAGGAGAGGAATTTTCTGATAAGTGAGTGCTCAGGTCCCAAAGTGAGACACGCAAGGTTCACAGGTTGATTCCAGAAGGAGCTTTTGCTTGGGTTTGGTGACCAAGTTGGGCTGGAGTCTTTTTGAGTGCCCACATGATGTCATACTTGGTTCCCCCTTATTTGCTCCATTCTTTCCCAAACCAGGGTTTTTTTCTGCACTCATTCTTTCGTCGGTTTTGTGCCCCTTCTGCATCAGGTTTTTACATAAGAACATAAGAACATAAGAGATGCCAATGTTGTATCAGGCCAAAGGCCCATCCAGCCCAACACTCTGTATCACACAGTGGCCAGAAATACCAGGTTGCCATCAGGAGGTCTACCACTGGGGCCAGGACATTAGAAGCCCTCCCACTGTTGACCTCCCCAAGCACCAAGATGACAGTGCATCACTTGCCCCAGAGTCCCTATCTATACCTTGTGGCTAATAGCCACTGATGGACCTCTGCTCCATATGCCTATCTAATTCCCTTTTGAAGCCGTCCATGCTTGTAATTCTTTCCCACATGTGTTTTGCTCCCATTTGTGGTCACTTCACTCTTTCTCCAGTTTTTCTTTAATGAGCACTTTTAAAGGACTTGGAGAAAACTTGGGGGGGGGGGAATCATTGAAAAATCCAAGTGACCTTATGGGGAACAGAACACATCCAGAAAAGAAGGGGAAAAACAACCCCGTTCTGGCACATGACTGACAAAATAACACATGGGGGGGGGGAAACCCAACACACACACTTTTATATAGTCTTTCCCCAAAGATCTTGCTACAGACTTAAAAGTTTACAGATGGGAAGGTGTGGACTTTTGAACCTCCCGTTCATATTGGTACCATTGTGTTACCATTATTAACACCTGCTGTCCCCCCTCCCAGCCATGTGAGGGCTTTATAATCCATAGTTGCTATATTGCTATACCATATAATGTAGCAAGTGCTGATCTTATTTTAAAGCCAGCAAGAAGTCTTCTGGTGGTATCAGGAAATGGTGGCTATGCGGGGAAGACCAAGAAAAGCGTGGGCAAAACTCCCTGTGTGGATACTCTGTTGTGATTGCACATGCTTTTGCATTAGCTGCGGAAATGACTGCATACCAGGGAAACATTACTGTGGGGAAGCAACCAAAACTGGGAAGGCCAGCAGTGTTGAAATGTTTTGTTGAGTTTATATGTCCACTCTTCCTTCAAGGAGTGTTGAGGGTATTTCATTTATCTTCAGACCATCCTATGAGAGAGGTTAGGTTGAAAGACAGCAACGTGTCCAAGATCGTCTGGTGAGCTTCCAGCCTCTGACCTGCCCCATGCCTGCTTAGCTTCCTCAAGGTGTCTGCATCGTGTACCTTCCATCCATACCTTGAGAACAAGCCTTCTGTTACATGGGTGGAGCAGCCCAAATAGTCCAGCTTGGCCTAGGCTCATCAGAGTTTGGGAGCTAAGCACAGTTGGCCATGGTCAGGACTTGGGAGGAAGGCAATGGCAAACCATGTGGGGGACTATGAGGAAGAAGGCATTGGCAAACCACCTCTGCTTCTCTTTTGCCTGGAATGCCCCATGGACGGGGTCACCAGGAATCAGTTATGACTCAACAGCATGTTCTTCTTGCTGCCTGAGTAGTCCAATCTGAATCGATCTTCTCAGATCTAGGAAGCCAAGCAGGGTCAGCCCTGGTTAGTACTTGGATGAGAGGCCACCAAGGAAGCCCCTCGGTTGCTCCATGGAGAAAGGCCATGGCAAACTGCCTCTGCTCCTGTCTTGCCCGGAATGCCCCATGAATGCCACCATGAGTTGGTTTGACTGTACGGCATGTTCTTCTACATGGGTGGGCCATGCCAACAAGATTTGAAGTGGCTCTGGATTTTTTTCACCAGTCAAAGAATGGAGGAGGAAAACAGGAAAGGGGGGGGGAAGGAAACTAAACATTTATATGCTGTCCTTGTGCCAAAGAGCTCACCCTGCTGTATAATAGCGGGCAGATACTATTTCCCCCCCTCCTGACGGTTCTGTGAGGTAGATCAGCTGAGATGGGGCATACAAGTGATCTTCGTGGCCGACAAAGGATTCGAATCAGTCTCCCTGGTTTTAATCCCACCACTACACCATACTTGCTTTCTAGTAGAACAGGCAGACTGTCGGGGGGGGGGGGGGTCCACAGGACTCAGGGATTTATAGATGACGATTTGCTATGTAGCCAACTTGCCACGAGGCAGTGCCAACCACACAGGGGAGTCTGTGTCGTGTTTAACATCCAGCCATACGGAGAGGCAGCTTTTTACGGTGGGTTCCCAGCGGTGTGCTTACTGTTTGAGTAACCGGTCTCATAATGCCCGCAGAGTTGTTCTTTTGCAGCGTTCCTTGCTGCTGTGGGCATAGTCCTTCAGGGTCTGGGGCCGTTGCAGGCAGCTGCGTGATGCAGAAACCAGATGGCGAATTTGCGAGCAGCGCCGTGATCTCTCCTCACCTCCCCAATAACATTGTCTCAGCCCAATCCAGCCCACAACCTGGCAAGGGGTGTGTGTCTTTGTGCTGTTTGCTGGGGGGGGGGGAGAGCAGCCACGCAGGAGGCAGGGAACGATGTTGTGATGAGGAGAGGAGCAGCTACAACAGGGAACGATGTCGTGATGAGGAGAGGAGCAGAAGGCAGTAGTTGCATGTCAGTGGAATAAGCGGTACAGCGGAGATTGTGTCCCCCATGGACTGTCCACTCCCCCTGCTCTCTTGTCTGTTTAGGGGTGTTTGTGATGCTCCAGGAAGCTGCAGATCCCATTTCAGCTAAAGTGGCAATGAGGCAAGAGGGGGCAAGTGTGTCTGTCACAGGAAAATGGTGGCTTTAATGGCTGTTTGGTGCCGTGGTTGAGAGTGAGCCAGTTTGCTTTAGTGATTAAGAGCGGCGGACTCTAATCTGGGGGACCGGGTTTGATTCCCCACTGCTCCACATGCAGCCATCTGGGTGACCTTGGCTCAGTCAAAGTTCTCTGAGAGCTCTCTCAGCCTCACCTACCTCACAGGGTGCCTGTTGTGGGGAGTGGAAGGGGATTGTAAGCCGCTCTGCGACTCCTTCAGGTAGTGAAGAGCGGGGTATAAAACCAACTCTTCTTCTGTTCATCCATACCCTATTCAGCGCTCTCAAAACTGTTGACCATCTCCATTTTATAACTTGGGAGTGTCAGTCCCTGGCACACGGCACAGTTGCTTCCCCCCACAGCGCTTTTGGCATGCACGCTTGCTTCAGCCCACACCTGAGAAGAATCAGCCTGGCTCTTGTCCTCTCTGTTGGAGACCTGCCCCAAAAGAAGATTCAAAGACCAAAGGATCCAATGAGGAATGGAAGGGAAACCTGAGTCCCAGGGATTAAGAAGAAGAAGAAAAGTTGGTTTTATACCCCACCTTTCACTATCCAAAGGAGTCTTGGAGTGGCTTACAATCACCTTTCCTTCGTCTCCCCACAACAGACACCCTATGAGGTAGGTGGGGTTGAGAGAGCTCTGAGAGATCTGTGATTGACCCAGAGTCACCCAGCAGGGTTCATGTGGAGGAGCGGGGAATGAAACCCGGTTCTCCAGATTAGAGTCCACGTCTCTTAACTACTACACCAAGCTGGCTCTCGGGTTTAAGGCTTTTCTCTACCACCTGAGACTTGCCTCTCCTGGGGGAATCCAGACAAAAAGCTGAATAAGAGTCGGATAATGGGAACAGAGTGCAGTGTGAGTGAATTGTCAGTACTTCAGCACAAGTCCATGTTGTGGGGTGGGGCTCATGGGGTTGCTTCTTGCAGCCAAATCACAGGTTGGGGATCAGATCTGCTGTCGTCGTGAGTTTGACCCTCAAATCTTTAGCTACTGAGTGGTTCCTGCACCACACCCTCAGAGAGAAGGAAGAGAATGATGTGAAAGCAGCTGGCAAGGTTGGGATGAGTGTTGTAGACGGTTTTCTGACAGGATTGGAATAGCTGTGGTGGGATCAGGCATGGATGACTCAGTGGTAGAGGATGATTCTGTGACGGAGCATCTGCTTTGCATGTGGAAGGTTGCTGGTTCAATCCCCGGCATCTCCCGCTAATAGGATCCGGCAGTGGGTGATGTGGAAGGCCCTGGAGAGCGGCTGGCAGTCACAGTAGACGATACTGACCTTGGTAGACAAGGGGTCTGAACGGGTGTTAAGGAGTTTCATGTATTCGCGTAATACTTCAGGGTGGGACTGTGGGTGTAAGACTGTCTTGGACAGCTTCATTTGTTAATGGATTCATTCCTTTTGGAGGAGGGGTGGCCACCCTCATTTGAGCAACTTTGTGCCCCTTTTCTGAGGGAGAAGAATTGTTCGAATGCAACCACAGCCTTTGGACCGAGTGCCTGTGTCAGACATTTCTTCAAACTGAGATGAAAATTATCTGCAGTGCGTCTCTCCTGCACAAAGTTCTGTTGTGTCCTGTGCTGAACCAGGGCATATTTTGCGCTGCTATATTTACCCGCGAAACAGAACTGTTCTTTTGGCAGATAATTTGTATTTCATCATTACCTGCTGCAAAGAGGAACCGTTGCATTAATAAAGGGAAGCCAGTTTTCTTACAAGCGTTTGAACAAGTGCATGAGATTAACTCTGTCCTCCTGTTGTTATCTCAGGAACCCATGGTGCCTCCTCTCTGTGTGTATTTTTAAAGGTTGAAAGGAAACGTAATAATTCACTTCTGACTGTCTGTTCTTCTTCTGCGTGGCATGAAAAACTAATCCCCATTCCTCTTCTGTGGGGATTTTACGCTACATTTTGCATGTCCATGGCAATGTATTAAGTTGGCACATAGTGGAGCATATAGACATCTAGCTGTAACACATGCACGTTTTTGCTCTGGTTAGCACTTTACAATGTTGCCTAGGAGTTGCCGCCTTCAGTTCTTTTTTATTAAAAACCAGCTTGTCAGAGATTTCTAATGGCTCCGTTTGAATTCCAGTCCCAGGTAGAGGAATACAGACAGCTGAAGGACACCCTTAAAAAGATGCCGAGTTTCCAAAGGCCTGAAAGTTTCCACCCGCCACACGTTGTGCAAGTGACACTAGCGCCTTCACCCTCAAGTGACCCCAAAGCACATGACTCAAACGTGGCTGAACAGCAACAAGAGGTAGGAACAGCCAGCTTGGAAAGCAATAATCATTAACATTTCAGATTGTGATTTTGTCTGTGTATAATGAACGGCACCCAGGTGATCTTGGTAAACTTGACAATGACCTTGTAAGGTAGGGCACGGACAAGGACTGGTGTGTCTTTTTCTTTTGTATTGCAGATTAAATTTTGCTTCCCTTTCCGCTTTGCTTTTTGGATGTCGTACATACACTGCTGGTCTCCTTTTTGCCCTTCTCGCCTTCTGCTGAGCTGGGCTGCCTCCCCTTTTATAAGAGAGATTCTAGAGTTCGTTTCGGGGCTCTCTTCTGGAACATGAGGAATAGTGGTAAAGAGCAATGTGTGTTTTGAACCGTTTGCAGAATGCCTTTCTCTCACTCACCAGAAAATTCCAGGTGGGTAGCCATGTTGGTCTGAAGCAATAGAACAAAGTTTAAGACCAACTAAGGCCCCGGTCACACGGGCCGGATATCGCGGGGGGGAGGCGTGGCTGTTTGCCCCGGAGCAAACTACCGCGCAGCAGCCGGATCAAACGTCCCGCCCGATGTCCCGTGGTTGGGGGGGAGGTGCCGATCATACCTCACTCCTGCAGCGCGGCAAAGAAGCGGCGCCGCGGGGGTTGTGTTGTTTTTTTAACCCAAGTGTTCGCATGCGCCGTTGGGTGCTTGTGCGCACCCGTGGAGACTTGACAAAAAAAACCTTTTCGTGAGGGGACATGGGCGGGCGCCGGATGCCACGAGCTAACACCGTAAATGTGATCTGATGCCCGCCCTTGCCCCGCGGTTTCTGGAAACTAGTACCTCGGAGGTACTAGTTTTTTACAGCACATCTTCGGAGTGAAGCCTCGGGTGAGCCACGGGAGCTCTCTGCTTCCCAGATGTGGTGGTGAGATTGCGCCCGGAAAATCCGCCTATCTTCCGTCTCTCTAGCTCCGTGTGACTGGGGCCCATGTTTAATTCTGGGTATAAACTTTCATATGCGTGCACACTTCCTCAAATACCAGAAACTTGTAGCTAGCTGTCTCTCATAAATTAGCGGGAAGGGGGTTGTGAGGTGTCTCTTTGCTGTCACGCCTCAGGAAGAAACATCCCCTGTCAGCCCTCAAGGAGTTGCAATGGAATTTCTGAGAGACGACATCTCCCAACGGCTTGAGGCTGACATCACAACTGTTGCCTTTTCCTGAGGGAAGAAGGGAGAAGGGAGGGAAAGGTGGAAGGAGAGGTCTGAACTACAGCCAAGAACAGTTCTGTGAGAGCTGGGAGGACACCAGCAGGAGTTGAGGTGGTTGGAGGAAAGAACTTCTTGGAGCCCTGCTACCAGACTGAAGCTGAAGGAAGAGGGTTTGTTTATTGACTGCATTAGGAGAGTCCTGGGAAGCAGGGCCTGCCACTAGTGCCTTCCTACTTCTTGACAGCGAGCACAAAAGGCCCCAGTTAGAGCCTCACCGCTTGAAACCAAGTTATTGCTTTACATTCCTTCTCAGCTGAACCTTCTCTGTTTACTTACCTCATTAATGTTCTTATGGCTATTAGCTACTTGTCACTACAGTTGGTGGGAAACACCAGAGTTTATGATAGAAGTGTTGGCCCTGAAGGGCCTTCAGCACTTGCCGTAGAGGCTCGCTGCTAATCTTCATTGATATTACAGAGCCTTCATAAAATGGAAACTTCTTCTCCCAAGATTAGCTCCTTGTGCCAACACCAACACCATTCTTGTCAGCCTGCCTGATAGGGTTGCCAATCTTCAGGTGGTGGCTGGAGATCTCCTGGGGTTATAACTGATATCCAGGTGACAGAGATCAGTTCACCTGAAGAAAATGGCCGCCTTTGAAGGTGGACTGTCTGGCATACCCCATTAGTTCTTGTGGCCCTCTCTTACACACCCAGGGAAATCACCATTTTGGGGTCAGGAAGCAATTGTCTCCAGTCCAGTTTGGCCAGGGATCCTGAAGGGGTTCTTTTGCCATCTTCTGGGCATGGAGCGGGGGTCACTGTGTGTGTGGGAGAGGTAGTTGTGACCTTGTTGCATTGTGCAGGGGGTTGGACTAGATGACCCCGGAGGTCCCTTCCAGCTCTGTGATTCTATGAAGTCCCTCTCCTCCCCAAACCCCCCACCCTCCCCAGGCTTTACCCCAAACATCTCTAGGTATTTCACAACCCAGAGCTGGCAGCCCTACTGCCTAAAATGGTGATTACTCCATTGTCTATCCCCAGGTGGAGAGTGAGGAGCTGGTGTCTGTTGGTTTCCTTGGGGGATATGAAGTACAGTGCTGTATACTCAGATTTCCTTTTCCATGTATTTCAGTGGCTGCCTCTCTTACAGGCCCAGCCCCGGGTTCAGCTGGTTCATCCCGTAGCCGGGGAAACGGCTGAGTTCTTCCCATACTCCTTTTCCATCTTCTCTCTTTCTCTCTGTACCCTTTGCAAGGTGAAAATTGGAAAGTCCCACCTCCCATCACTATATCCAGCTGGGACAGGGAGTGGGGGGGTGGCGGGGGGTGGCGGCACACGTTCTGAGCACCCTACAGGCTTTCAGGGTGGAGAGACTCACATCTAGGGAAGCGTGAGCCCCTGAAACCACTCATTTTAGTAACTGGAGCTGCTTGGTGGTTGTGGAGAGGAAGTGGTTGAAAAGGGAAGGTGGAGTCTGCTGATGCCTAGGAGGAGTTTCCAGCAGCCAGCTTGTGAGGTTTGATGTGGTACCCTTAATTGGTTAATTCTGGGAAATGTTAACTTTTGCACTGTACGCTTTTCTCCAGGCAGTGAGATGGAGACTGCCTGAACACTTGTAGAATTGCGTTTCAGTGTAGCTGTCGTGAATGTACAGCTCGAAGGGGAAAGGTGAGGCATTACCAGGTAACAAACAGGAGTTTGCCAGATTTTTAACTTGCTCCGTGATGGAGAGACATTTCATGGTCATCATCAAATTGACCCTGAATAGGCTGCCACTTAACACATGGTAGGTATCAACGGGGCAGTGCTTCTCCCCCAACTTATTTCAGAGGAGATACAGACTTAACAGTGCTTCCAGTTTGCCTTCATCCCCACTTATCACAGGTCAGGTATAGTCAGTGCGGTGTAGTGGTTAGAGTGCTGTGGTTAGAGTGGTGTAGTGCGGTGTAGTGGTTAGAGTGCTGGACTGAGATTGGGGGACCCAGGTTCAAATCCACACTCTACTTGTCATGGAAGCTCGCTCTCTCAGCATAACCTACCTCACAGGGTTGTTGTGAGGATAAAACCAGAGGACGGGGGGAAATGATGTCCTAATTTGCTTTGTTTTCCCACTGGGGAGAAAAATGGGGTGTAAATGTCCTTACCTGGATGGCCCAGGCAAGCCCAATCTCATCAGCTCTCATAAGCTAAGCAGGGTTGGCCCTGGTTGGGTCTTGTGTGGGAGACCACCAAGGAAGTACAGTATTGCTACACAGAGGCAGACAATGACCTTTGAATAAATCTTGCCTTGAAAACCCTAAGGGGTCACCATTAAGTTGGCTGCGACTTGGTGGCCCTTTTCACCACCACTACACCTGAAATGTCCGAAGAAGTGAGCAGTGATTCACGAATGCTCATCCCCTGACACAAATCTGTTGGCCTTTAAGGTGCTACTGGACTCTTGCTCTTTTCTGCTGCTACAGACAGCCTAACCCAGCCACCCATCTTCATCCACCACCACTACAAATGCCTAAACAGTTGAGTAGACTAGCAGCAGTCCTGCTTTGCATTCACAGCTGCATCAGCAGGAGCTGAGGGGCCACTTGAAAGGCTTTTGATGTGTCAGATAAGAAAATGTGGCTACCTGCAGAGAACAGGAAAACCAGGGCACTCATCCACAGTGCATTTCTTTTTGCACGGGCTTGGATGACCTGAAGCCTGAAGGGGAAGGTTTTACGTGCTTTACTGGCTTAGGTGTGTGGACATATACATTCTGCAGTGGCTGCAATAGTGAACGCTTGTCCCGTCGGTCCTTTGCTCTTTCCAAATGTCCCATTGCTGTGCTTAACCAACAGAAAGTCACATAGACCCCAGGTGTTGTCTTGTTTGCCTAGCCAACTCCAGTTCGGGTTTAATAGGGAGAACTTTAAAAAAATACAGATTATCCCCATAACAAAGTAATAAAATACAGAAAGAATAAAGCTCAACAACAGGCTGTCTCGGATCTGTCAAACGAGCTTTTGGCAGTAAATGTGGCTGGTGGGTTGGAAGGCAAATGGTTCCATAAACATGGCTGACGCAAGGCAGTCTGTTTATAGCAAATGCTGTACGCAATTCAAACATGGAGAATTTGCACAGGCAGATGAGCTTTTCACTGATACGTCTCTCATTTTTAATATTTTGCATATGGCTGTATGCCATGTAATGGCTTATCACTTGGTGATGATGGCTTCCCATTCTGATTCACAGCAGAACACGTGAACTGTATTCAACTTTGGCAGTGTTTAGTTCTTGAGGTGAAGGGACAATGCTGGCCTTTGTTTGATTTTCTAACACAAGCTTGTGTACATGAACTTGCCCGTAGGTATTCACCAGCCCTTGATAATAATTGTTTTGTTGGATCAGATCGAGATCAATCTAATCCACCATATTTGTTTCCAAAAGGGGCCACCCTGGTTCCTTTGGGAACTTCATTGCAGGTCATGAAATACAGCACTCCCTTATTGTTTGGTCCTAGCCTCTGGAAATCAGTTTTTTGTTTTGCTGTCAAGTCTCAGCTGACTCTTGAGAGTCCCTTGGACTGCAAGAAGATCAAATCAGTCCATCCTAAAAGAAATCAACCCTGACTGTTCCCTGGAAGGCCAGATAATGAAACTGAAGCTCAAATACTCTGGCCACCAAATGAGAAGGGAGCCCTCACTGGAGAAGACCCTGATGCTGGGAAAGATTGAAGGTCAAAGAAGACGGGGACGGCAAAGGATGAGATGGTTAGACAGTGTCATTGATGCAACAAACATGAAATTGAGCCAACTTCAGAGGACGGCGGAAGACAGGAGGGCCTGGTGGGAGCTGGTCCATGGGGTCGCAAAGAGTCGGACTCGACTGTGCGACTGAACAACAACTCAGCTGACTTAAGGTGACACTGTGGGGTTTCCAAGGCAACCTTGGTATTCCTTGGTGGTCTCCCATCCATATACTGACCAGGGCCAACCAGATCTGATGAGATTGGCCTAGCCTGGGCTATCCAGGTCAGGGCAATCAGAGGTATACTGCCTCTAAACATGGCAGGTAAATTTAATTGATCAAGATATTTATATCTTGTTTTTCTCCCCAATGGGGACCCAAAGAAACTTGCAATGCTGTTCTTTTTTCATTTCGTTTTATCCTCACAGCAAGCACCCTGTGTTAAGTTAAGAAAGAGTGGTTGGTCCAAGGTCATCCAGTGAACTTTCATGAGAGTAGATTCAGGAGAGTAGCTGTGTTCGTCTGAAGCAGCAGAACAAAGTTTGAGTCCAGTGGCACCTTTAAGACCAACAAAGTTTAATTCAAGGTATGAGCTTTCATGTGCAAGTGCACTTCTTCAGATACCAAGTGTATTTGCACATGAAAGCTTATACTTTGAATTCAACTTTGTTGGTCTTAAAGGTGCCACTGGACTCAAACTTTTTTCTTCCATGACAGTGTGGGGATTTGAACCTGGGTCTCCCAGGTCTTAGCTGGACACTAACCTCTATGCCACATTGGCTTTCATAGCTGTGACTGATAGTCATTGTTGGTCTGTGAATTTGCTGAATCCTGTTTTGAAGCCATCTGTGCAGCTGGCCCCTATGCCTATACAACAACATGCCTCTTTTACTGTCCTTCATATATTGCAGCATAATTCCTGGAATGTATGAAACTGACAGGATGTGCCTTGTGCCAACACTGATGTAACTGGACTTCTGTTCTTTGAATTTGCAAGCAGTTTGCAGTTTTTCTGATTGTGCAACATCTAGACCCAACCACACTGGTGCTGTCTTTTAAAATGTCTAGCCTGGATATCCCAGGCTAGCCCGATCTCACTAGATCTCAGAAACTAAGCAGGGTCGGCCCTGGCTACTATTTGGATGGGAGACCTCCATGGAATACCAGGGTCATGACATGGACGCAGGCAATGGCAAACCATCTCTGAACATTTCTTGTCTTGAAAACTGTACGGGGTCGCCCTAAGTCAGCTGTGACTTGAGGGCACTTTCCACCACCAGATAGACAAAGGTGCACAAAATCAGAAGAGGTGTGTCTGTGTGTGTGTTAAAAAGCTATCTATTGATGATTGGTAAATATGTAGCTACATGCCAGATCAGAATTTAAACAAATTAGAATAGATTTTAAAAATCAGAAAAAGGTATAAGATGAGTGGAGTTAAAAAACCAAAACCATTATCCCCTTAAAACAGCCACTGGCTATTGGAACATCAATCCAGCCTCCCTCTGGCAGCGCAGAAGGACATATCAGTAATAAGATTCCAACTTTCTTGCTGAAAAATCAAAAGGGAAAGAAAGAAGACTCAGAGGCAGAGCAGGGATCACAACTGCCCGTCAAGTCATGCTGATATTTGCCTTCAAAGTATAGGCTGCTGAGAGCTGACGATTTAACTTTCAGTGTTGCTTTTGGGGCTTTATGCCTTTTCTTTTTTATTATTTTGCTTTTTAAGTTTGCATTTTTATTTTGGATAATGTCGAAATATGTTCTGTCTTTTAACTTGATTGTTGAGCCCCTTGACCTTTAAGCTTAATGACCCAGTTTCCCCCACAATTGATATATCTAATATTTACCCATTTAATAATAGACCATAAGCATTTGTGTAGTTGCATCTGCGATCTGAAACTCACCTCCTGTGCTTGTATTATATTGTTGCCAGCTGTTACGGTTTCTATTATTCTGGGACGAATCAGAATCGCATTGCACCTCATACTTGGCAGAACTGGGCCTTGAGTATCTTGGCTCATAAAATGGCTCAGCAGAATAACAGAATTTGCCTTCAGGCTTTTCTGAAGCAGCTTTCAAGCATGGGTTTAGAACTCTGGGTGGATGAGGAAATAGTTTTATGGGAACAAGGAAGAAAAGGGTTTGACAGTTTTTCTCGGTGGTATATTGTACATTCCTGAAGACATTCTGGCAGCAGAGGAATTGTGATAAAGTTAATGGTGTGTAGTGTGTACTGTTCACTCAAGGTTTCGTGGTTGAGTGGGTAGCTAACCTGGGCTTCTTGGGGTCAATCTAATGTAGCAAATTAGACCTCATAAGTGTAGGTGGAATAGTGAATGCAACCCATTTGCAGTATATAAATGGATGGAGGGGTGGCTTGAGCACGTTACGCCCATATTGACCAGGATAATTTCTTTCTCTGTCTCTGCAGGGTTCTAGGTAATCAGCTCTCCCTCTTTCTCTGTCTGCTTTTCTCTGCTATCATATGCTTACTTGTTGATTGAGCCAGTTTGGTGTAGTGGTTAAGTGCACGGACTCTAATCTGGGAGAACCGGTTTTGATTCCCCACTCCTCCACTCGCAGCTGCTGGATAACCTTGGGCAAGCCATAGTTCTGTCAGAGGTGTTCTTGAAAAGAGCAGTTTCTGTCAGAGCTTTCTCAGCCCCACCTACCTCACAGGGTGTCTGTTGTGGGGAGGGGAAGGGAAAGGAGTTTGTAAGCCGCTCTGAGGCTCCAAATGAAGGGCTGGGTTTAAATCCAATCTCTTCTTTTTCTTCTGATTATGTGCTGTTTTAAAGATGTACTCCCATATTTAATATTCATTGGAGCTGGGAAACACTGGTTTCCTAGCTCGGATGATCTCTGTCTGTGTATGTTCATTACATTGCTCTCTACCTCCTCTGTTCCTTCATATAAGGCCAGTAATAACTTGCTTGGGATCATCTCTAAGCAATTTGTGAAATGTTACAGGGCCGTGTTGTACTGGTGTATTGACTTGTGGTCCTTGAGCATTCAAAACGAGCAGCCCAGACTGAATATTCTGTATGGTTAAGGTGATCCTGGATGGAGAACATCCGCAGGAAGGAGAAGGCATCCACGCTGAAGGAAGAGAAGACAGAGCCGTACCATTTCATCCTGGTGGGAAAGCTGTTGAAGGTCACGCACGCCAGGAACTAAACATTCAGCAGAAGCAAGAAGCGGGAGAAGATGAGGAGCAGCACCTGGAACAGGTGGAAGAAGAGAACAAAAAGGAACTCGAAGAAGAGGAAATGGAGCAAGCAGGTCAGCCTGAACGCTTAGCAGAGGATCTGGACCAAACACCAGAGGAGCGCGAGTGGAAGGAGAAGGAAGAAGAAATCAACATGCTCCATGAACACACTCACTTGGAGGTGCGCTATTTTCTCTTACCATCTCTAGTTGGGGAGAGCCCATGGCTCAGTGGCTGAGCACCTGCTTCGCATGCAGAAGGTCCCAGGTTCAAGTACCAGTACCTTCAGTTAAAAGTCTTCAGGTAGTGGGCAGTGTGGAAGACCTTTACCTGAGACTCTGGGGAGCTGCTGCCAGTTAGAGTAGTAGACCATAATGACCTCTGTAGACCAGTCCTTATATCAGTTCTTGCCCCATCTTCCTATTTCTTTCTTTCTTGAATTCATTCTATCCCTAGCATAGATGATAGTGAGCATGCACATGGATCTTTTAGAAGAGGGCGCTTTGTTTTTTTAAAATTCAGTTGAAAAAGATTTTTCTGCATACCTCGTATTGTTCCCATGGATATGCGGAAATTAACATCTCGGGGTGCCCTGTTTTGATACTCAGCAGGGAAAGCACCCCAGTTTATAGTTAAGTGGAATGATTGTAGAAGAGACAATATAGGGAGTTTAAGCGTTATCACAACCAGCATATCACTTGTAAGAAAGCAGGTAACCCGGATATGATGTTGGGAAGCATGTTGGGAAAACGAGTACAGAACTTTGTGTCCTGCTCAGCAGTCAAACACCAGCAATTGCAACAAAAAAATTTGACCAGCCAATTGCAAGGTGTTTTGCACTAGACAACTGCAACCTTTGCGGCTTGAAAATATTTCCAATAGGAAAGCCACCCAATATGGGGCTGTTAATGGTAGGATGTTTTGGAGGTCATTATTTCATAGGGTCGCCGTAAGTTGGAAGCAACTTGACAAGACTTAACACACGCACACCCAGAAGCAAACCACCAGATTGGATACCCTGGCAAGTCTGTTTTTTTTCTTGGAGAATTATTCCTTAGCCTAGGTTTTTAATCTTTTTAAATGTCTTTAAAAAAAACAACACACCTCATTTGTATCTATTGATCACACTATTATTCCATTCTTTCTCCAAGGAGCTCAGGGCAATTGATGTGGTTCCTTCTCCTTTTTATCACCATAATAGCCCTTTCTGTTAAATTTGGATGCAAGAAAGAGCGACTGGCCCAAGATCACCTGATGAGCCTTGGGGCTAATGCAAGATTTGAAAGGGGAAAAAAGAAGGAAACCCTTCAAACCAACAGAGAAAACAAAAGTGCAGAAGGCTATAACGTATAGGTGGGAGGAAAGGGTGCAACAAACCACATTGATTTTGCTGATTGAAAATAAGAAGCATATTATAGTTATATGTACAGTAAGGTAAAGTATGCTGTCGAACAGAGGTCATTTTGGGGGGGATCGCGGGGGATCGCAGTTCCCCCGGGAGAGGTATGGGGGCGGGGCACATGACGAAGCCCCGCCCCCTGCTTCCGGCCGCCCCGCTTCCGGTTCTCATTCAGCCAGGAGGAGGCAGGAGAAGAGGGAGGGTAAGTTGCTTCCTCCCTGCCTCTCCCCACCCCTGCCTGCCTGGGGCCAGGGAGGGCCTTCGCGGAGCTTCCTTGCACTCCCGCCGGCTTTGCAGGTCCACCGCCGGGCCCCTCATGGGGCTCGGCAGTGGAGCTGCAAGGCCGCCGGCAGCGGCCGGGACCATTAGGGGCGGGGTGTGTGGCCTTATGACACACTTCCGGTGATGTCAGGGGGTGTGGCCTTGTGACACACTTCCAGTGATGTCAGGGTGTGTGGCATATGCCAATGAGTTATGCTAATGAGTTCCCCTAGCTCTTTTTCTACGAAACGACCCCTGGTTTGCAGTAAATAGAATCTGGGAGCAGGAGCTCTAACTTCTTGGTCATGTCTCAAGGACACAAAACTGCTTACTTTCAGCCTCGTGCCGCCCCCTTGATCCAGCGAAAGAATTCCACCCATATTTCAGGCTCCATTAGATCTTGCTAGTGACCTGCACCCAGAGATCTGGCAGCTGTTGCAGCTGATGTATGAAATTCTTCTCCCTTCAGCCCCTGACTGCTTTTTTTGAGGTTCCTTGGTCCACAACTTCCAAAATTTACTTTGTTGTGTGCATTCGCTCTTTACCCAGGCTTTTAACTAGGAAACTCCATCTTTTTAAGCTGTCTTTCTGTTCTGCTTCTAGTCTGAGGACTCCCATGAATATTGTTTTATGCTGTTTTATGCCTTGCTTTATTATGTGATGATTTTTCTGTATCATTTTTACATTACAAGCTGTCTGAAGCAGGCTTCCAGAGAAGCAGTATATACTTGTAGTTTCTGTGCCATTTGCAGTTAACGGCTCTGTTCAGTTCAGAATTTGGTACTCCGCCTAAGTCTTAAAATACGTCTCACTTGGTGTCTCCCGCCAGGAACCAGCAACAGTGAAGACTATAACAAGGTACAAATCGGCCTACGAAGAGCAGCTGGAGCAGCAGCGCCTGGCTGCCCAAAGAGCAGAAGAAGCCACCCGCCTGAGGGAACATCAGGAGTCCCTGCATCAGGGGAGGCTACAGGAGCAGTTGCTACGACAGCAGCAGCTTCAAGAGAAAGAGCTGTCCTTTCGGAGGCAGGCCGAGCAGGATGAAGAGCAATTTAAACACCACCTAAGGTTATCTTTGCAAATGAACTTCAGTTCCTGTCACACGCTGGAGATGGGCGTTTAGTGTTTCAAATTTTAAAATGCCTACTATTACTAGAATCTTCTAGAATTTTTGCTCTGTGTGGCTGCGGATACACAGTCTATTTTTGTGTGATCTGTGCCAGATGCCAAAATGTTTGAACCAGGCCTAAGAAGGCATGTTCTGTTTGTTTTTAAAATGCCTACCATTACCTACCATCAATGCTCCAAAGCTGTGGAGCCTTGTGAACAAAAAAATCGACTTTGTGAGCTACTGACATTAAAGTTGTGAGTTAGCGATTTGGCTACTGCATAAATTAGTTGCCTTGGAGCCATCCTTCCTGAGCTGAGACAAAAATGTGAGCCAGAGGCTAAAAAACGGTGAGCTAGCTCACACTAACTCAGCTTAGAGGAAACACTGCCGACCATTTGTTTCATTACTAGACTCTTCTAGAATTTTTGCTCTGTATGGCTGCGGATACACAGTCTATTTTTGTGTGATCTGTGCCAGATGTCAAAATGTTTGAACCAGGCCTAAGAAGGCATGTTCTGTTTGTTTGGCATATATATATATATATATTAAATCCTGTCCTTTCTCCAAGGAGCTCAGGGCAATGTACATGATTCTCTTATCCCCATTTTTTCCTCATCAGAGTCCTGTAACGTAGGCTAGGCAGAGAGCGAGAAAGGTCGCCCAGTGAGTTTTGTAGCCGGGTGGGATTTCAACCCAGGTCTGTTAGATACTAGTATGGCACTCTGTACCACAGTAATTCTCATAGCAGTACCTTGTTAAAAAGTATTCTCAACGCCTGCCCCTGCTGCAGTAGTAGTTATTAAATTTTTGCCTTCAGAGAACATTTCCCACATTAGTTAATTGGCCAATCTCTTTTCCATGGATCCCTTGCTTGTTGCAGAAGTTTCCCAAAAGTGGGGAAGTGTTCTAGGAAATACACAGGTTAACCCAGAGAGCCGGCAAGCCCCAGTGGGCCTCATTGTTGTGCTGTATGAAGTGAGAGTGTTTTTAAAATTAACCATAACTTGCACAGCTCAGGGGAATATTTATTATTTATATTTTTAAATATATATTTTTAATACTGGTTCTGAATGGGGAAATTTGTCTGACATGACTACGCATCACATTGAAGAACCCTGGGGTCCAGGAGAACAAAAACTGATAGCCACTACACTACTAACAGTGCAATCCTAAGCGGAACTACAGCTTTCTAAGCCCCTTGACTTCAGTGGATTTAGAAGGGCACAAATCTGTTTAGGATTGCACCATAAGACTTCCTTGCTGAGCCATGGTAGGGAAGAAGGGGCTGAGAGCAGTATTGCTTGTTTGAAATTGGGTAGTGGACCAACAGGTAGATGAGTTTATGTAAGCATTCCACGCTTAAGGCCATAAGGCAACACTAGGGAATAAGGCAACAGGGCAGCTGTCTCTGGCTCTGGCTCTCCTCCCAGCTTCCGGATAGGGTTGACAACTCCAGCTTGGGAAAGTCCTGGAGATGTGGGTGTGGATCTTGTGGGGGGCAGAATTTGGGGCAGGGAGGAAGCTCAGCAGGGATGTGATGCCACAGATTCCACCCCCAAAGGTTCCATTTTCTCCAGGGGAACTGTTGTAGTGCCAGGAGTAGTGGTTTCGTGCAGTGCTTAAGTGCACGGACTCTAATCTGGGAGAACCGGGCTTGATTCCCCACTTCTCCACTTGCAGCTGCTGGATGACCTTGGGCAAGCCATAGTTCCGTCAGAGCTGTTTTCTCGAGGACAGTTCTAGAAAGAGCTCTCTCAGCCCCAGCTACCCTACTTCACAGGGTGTCTGTGGTGGGGAGGGGAAGGGAAAGGAGATTGTAAGCCACTCTTGAGACTCCGAGTGAAGGGCGGGGTATAAATCCAATCTCCTCCTCCTCCTCCTTACTTCAGGAAAAGGAGTGGCAGGTTGTGTCTGGGCCATGTCCTTTGGGTAGAAGTGGATGGTTTCTTTGTTGATGGGGATGGGAGGGAGGGACAAGACCTTCCTTTCCCCCTTCACTTATATAATTGGAGCAGGTGGAGGATGATCGGCCTAGTCACTGGCAGTCTCGGGGAATGGTAGGATTGCTGCCTCCCTCACCCAGAGAGCAAGTGAAGCCTTTTTTCTTCTCTTACCCCCCACCTGTCCCTTTCTACCTGGAATACCAAACAAGCACTCAGCCAGCTGAATTTTTTAAAAGAGTGAACAGTTTGTGATGGCTTGCATATTTTCCATCAGCGAAGGCCTCCTATGACTCTGAACTGACCTCTCTGTATAATCTTTTCAGCCAACAGTCTCATTATGACAATCTAGATCAGGATATCGTGCAAGGAGAGGAGCAAGGAACTCAGGAAGAAGACGAAAGTGAGTGATCTCCCCCACTCCCCCAGCTTTGTATATTTATAGACTACCTTTCTCTCATTCAAGACGCTGAATGATCTTTAAATAGCACTAATGTAGGCAGGGCTATTTTGGGGCAGGAACGCACAGGAACGGCGTTCTGGCTGGCTTCAGAGTTGGCCACGCCCACTACAGCCAAAACCCCTGCGTGCGTGGCTACAGAGGGAAGGCCTGGAGAGCGACCCCCTCCCTGGTGACTCTGAGGCAGGCGGGCTGGGGGGGGGGCCTGGAAGGATCACGGAGGCATTTAAATGCCTCCCCATGCCTTCCCCGGCCTATCCGAGGACCAGCTTGCCCAGGCTCCTCGCAGCCGCAGGGCACCTGGGCAAGCCAAGGGAAGGCAGTTTAAACTGTCTTCTCTCCCCTCCAAGGGCCGGCTTGCCCAGGCTCCCAACAGCCACGGGGCACCCAGGCAAGCCAAGGGAAGGCAGTTTAAACTGCCTTCTCTTCCCTTCAAGTGTGGGCTTGCCCGGGCAAGCCAAGGGAAGTCATGGGGTGTGACCTAATATGCTAATGAGCTGTGCTGTCAGGGTGTGGCCTAATATGCTAATGAGTTTCTGCTGGGCTTTTTCTACAAAAAAAGCCCTGAACGTATGACAGAATATTAATTGAAAAAAACTATTATATAAGTACATGGAAGGTTCTAGTATTATCATTATGATCCACATTCCAATTATCTGTAACCAATGTCCCTTTTTGACAAATAAAAGATATATTCTGTTACTTGCCTCCTCTATCCTGCTGCAGATGAAAATCCCCCCCCTTTCAGGAGCAGCATTTGGGGGGGGGTGTTGGACTCCAGTGGGAGGGGAGAGGTGAGAACATTGTGTTCTGCAGGTGGAAATGTTTCTGTCCATGGAAATGCTCCATTGGATCCAAGCTGTAGAGTGCTTTGCCTTTTTTTGGTGGCTTACAGATCTGGTGCTCCGTTTGATGATGGTCTTTTTAACTGTAGGAGACAATGAATGAATGAGTGAATGAATGAATGAATGAATGAATGATTTGGGTTCTTTTTGATCAGACTATGTGCGGCACAACCAGCATCCCCAAGAAGCAGAGGAAGAAGATCAAAACAACGCGAATGAGCAGCGGGATCAAGACCGGGGCCACCAAGCAGAAAGTGAGCCGAACAAAGACGCTGTGAGTTTTGTTTTTGGCTTTTTTGGTGGTGGATGGGGAGGGACTTTACTATTTAGCAAATGCACATCTTGGTATCTTTGTAACTGTGTTGCCTAGAACTGACAACTGGATCAATTCTTTGTAATGGCCGCCATATTCAAAGTGATTTACATTCTGGCAGAAACAAAAAGAAAGGACGGGCATTGCTACAGAGAGAAAAGAAAGGAGACACAAAGTCCCCAACTGGTAGTTACAAATAAAGATGTATTGACACATGTGAATTGCTGTAATCATTTCAGTAAAAAAAAATGGGGGGGGGGTTGTTTTATGTTTCCTGAACTAGTAAAGGAACTAGGTCACAACTATTTCTTCCGGGAAGGAGGCCCGTCAGCAAGCATCAGTAATAACATTTAGCACTTCTAAGTGTTCAAAGCCCTTAACTTTTATTATCTTATTAAGCAGGGCAGTATTGTTATGGTATGGGCAGGTGGCTTGCCCAAGGCCACCTAATGAACTTGTAACTGATTTGATCCTTTCCTTTTATACCTTTAGAAGCTCATTGATTCTCAGATCTTGAGCAGCAGAATATACTTGCTTCTTTTTATATATATACAAGGGCTAAAAACAGATTTTGCAGTTGCTAGAGTAAACTTAGGATCTTTATCGCTGAGCAAAAGAGCCAGGGTTTCCAGAGTGTAGGGGGATGGTTGGATGGTTAAAGGTTTAATATAGTAATCCCTTATCTTGTCAGAGAACCTGCATTCAAGCAGGGCATGGAAGGATGTATCTATCCTATTAAGGCCACAAGGGCAGATCCTGTCAGAATAGGGCCAATTCAAAAATCTCCCATGTAAAACCATTGTAGGAATAATAACTCAATCTTGCAAACAAAAAAGCTCTACAGTAACGTGGGATGGTAAAATAGCATATATAGGGTGGTAAAGAACTTGGGAAAGAAAGACCAAAAGATAGGGGAGAGCAAACTCTGTGGGCTCTCAGGATCAGACTGCTATAATCAATTTCTAGGACACACTTTCTGATCAGAGAAAATGCCTTGGATTTGCCCGTCTCAAAAATATCATAAATGGACATTCCAGCTATCATCACTTTCTCAACCGGGTGTTTCATCCCAGTCGATTTGTGGATATCTTGATTTAGAGCTGCTAACAAGCCATCTTCAGCACACAGCTGTTTTATTCTCAGTTTAAAGGCATAAAGCCATGCTCTGGCTTCCAAGGATATCTGTTCAAATTCGTCCTGCAATACAGCATTTGATACACAGTTTTGCAGGAATATTCAGTATTTTCCTTTTAAAATTGGGCTAAGGGTTTATCAATGTTATCGGAGATACCTTTAATCCAAATAGCTGAGCCATGAAGGATATGGGGAACTTTCAAATTAAAAGCTTGCACCGCTCCAGGTATATATATCCCCCCCCATCTATTATGGTAGAACCTATTTATGGCACTTGCATATGGTTTAGCTTTATTAAGCGCTGTTCTGAGTTGGGGGGTCCAAGACAGATCTGCTGAAAACAAAATACCCAAACAGGAGAAAGTCTTGACTTGCTCAGTATTAGATTCGTTGATAGACCATTGAGATGAGTTCCATTTTCCGGTCTTGGTGAAAACTAGGATCTTAGATTTCAAATAGTTAATCACCAGGCTTTCTCGGGAGCAATAATTAGAAAAATATTGCAAGGCCCTTTGTAGCCCGACCCTAGTTCGGGACAAAATCATGGCATCATCTGCGTAAAGCAAAATAGGCACCCCAATCTCGGCTTATTTTGGTGGGTGACAGCAATCATTAAAGCTTGTTGCTACATCATTTAAATATAAATTAAACAAAAGAGGTGCCAACAAGCATCCCTGTCGTACTCCCTTCTAATTAAATGGATTTATTAAATTCTCGTCATACCCACATGGTACTTGGGCAGTCAAACTTGAATATAATTGTTGAGTGAGCCCTAGGAGTCTTTTGTCCATAGTAGTTTGATTAAGTTTGTTCCACCATCTGGAGTGAATTGAAGGTCAATAAAAGCCACATATTGATGCCCCCCCTTAAAAGATGAGTATTTCTCAGACAGGTGATAAAGAACTAAGCAATGGTGGTTATGTCGAAGAACCCTGCCTAAATCTAATGTGTTCATGTCCCAATAAGGTTTCTGATTCCATCCAATCCTGGAGCTTCTTTAGTAGATAAGCAGAGTATAGCTTTCCTAAAGGAGAAAGAAGGCTGATTGGTCAATAACAGGATAGATCACTTCTGGATCCCTTTTTAAACATTGCGACAATAATAGAATCGGGTGTTCGTCCACTGATGTTAATTTGAGTGAAAATTGGGGCCAGAACTGTGGCCCACCATTGTGGATCAGCCTGAAATAGCTCGTTAGGGATTAGATCAGAGCCTGGGGCTTTTCCTAGTTTTAATCCCTTCATAAGGGAAATGACCTCCTTAATTGATACTTCAGACCAAGATGCTGTTACATCAAGAGGAATAATAAAAGATGTACTAGGTGTACTGGCACTAGCATTGGAGAATAGCTTTTTGAAATAGTTTCCCCATGTCCGAGGGCAATACAGCATGGGATTTTAGAGGCTGGTTTTATAACAGTATTGACAATAGACCAGAAGGCCTTATTGTTGTTGTTATTAATAGTTGAAATGAGATGTCCCCATTCCTTATTGGGGGCTATCTGTCTCCTTGTTTTGATCAGTTCTGTTTATTTTCTTCAGTTCCATCAGTTCTTGAAGGGCTGATACCGTACAGTTACTTTTGAACTTGCGATTCTTCTGTTGAATCTGCCTTTTCATTCTATTACAGTCACTATTAAACCAACTATTCCTTTTAACGTCGAAGGGTGTCCTATCAAGGTTCGAACAGTTTTAATACCTCATCCAAATTAGGCAAACAGTTGAGCACTGAATCAGACTGCAAGACCCTGTTAACAAGAATATTACAAGGGATGGAACCCATTATGGCTCCGGCTTTGTCACTAGAGTTGGAGCTCCAGCGTAATCGACAAACTTTATCTTGATTTTGATTTGATCTAGGAACTTCACAGCTTAGTTTCTTAGGTCTGGATATACGTGCAGTGAACTGAGCTGGAAGAATGGACTCTACTGCTTCAGGCTGCGAGTTGAAGGCACCTTTTAAAAATTAATCACGTCCAAAAACTCCCTTCGAGTTAAAAAAAAAATATATCGCGCAGGAGACAGCAGGGGACGGGGAGAGAAGGAGGTTCTAGCTGTGCTGTATTAGTTTCCTGCTTTTGACAATGTTGGTTTTATTCTCTCCCTTGTCTTTTCCAGTGTATTTTTCCAATTACTCCTCTTCTTGATTGCACTTTAACTTTTTCTGAACGTGTGGTTGGCTCCATCTCCCACGGCAGCCGTTTTGTTGTTGTGCCCGCCACCTGTGTCAGAATTCCTAAGGTGCCCACTGGCTCAAAAAGTGTGGGGACTCCTGTTCTAAAGGGCTTTCAAGTTGAGCCAAAAAAGCAAGAACAGTAGGAAAGTTATAGTAAAGCACAGATTTTGGAAGATGGAGAAGGGAGAACCATGTGCACTGCTCTGACCTCCCTTGAGAAAGGGTGGGATAAAAATGCTCTGGATGGGCAGGAATTTGAAATTCTTTTTGACTTTTCCCCCCACAGAGGAAGGCAGCTGTGGATGATGTCAACCCAGCAGACGATCCGAACAATCAGGGAGAAGATGAGTTTGAGGAAGCAGAACAAGAGAGAGAGGAGACCTTGCCCGAGGAGGATAAGCCTCTGAAACCACATGACCAGAAACAAGAGAATCCTGAGGTGGAAGAACATTTAGTGGTGAGTGTGTGCAGAAGACAGAACTGTCTGAGGAGGCCCTGATAGCTAGTCCTGTTGGTTACTTTTTTACTCCAAAGTGAAGTGATAACTCTGGCAGAACTGTCACAATGAGAGGCTTCACAGCACTTCTCCCACATAGTAGTATTCAACAGCAGCCTTTCACTCTTCTGCAGCTACTCAAGGACTGCGAACCTCCTTTACAATTTCCTGAGGAGAATTTCGAAAACGAATTTGGAAACTGGTGCATGTGCAGTTTGCCTCAGCTTTTAAAGCCATTTGGTTCTGTCATGAAGGCTTGTTCTGCCAAAATTAATGATTTATCCTCACCCCGAGCCACCCATTTATAAAAGTCTGTCAGTGTAATAGTAGAGTTTCAAGTGTGGAATCCCATTTTCCCGTTTATCTTGTGTTGAGGTTAATTCTATTGTTTTGGTTCCCCCATATAAATGAATCCATCATTCTTTGCCATTCCTTCAGCTTCTTACCTGCTGTAGAAACTCATGGCAGTAGCAAAGTTGGTGGAATCCAACCCACTATTACTCACTTGGTTAAATCTTACCAGGCTTTCCTCTTTTTATTTAGCTTTGAACCTTAGTCTCTGTTTCTGTTTGCAAGGGCAGCTCAGTCAGCTTTAGCCACAGTTGATATGGGTGAAGACATAATATTTGGTATTGGTATGGGACAGAACGAAGAACATGAAGAGCCTACACCACTGGGAAGGGGTTGAGAGGGAGGGCACCATCTTTCAGCCTGTTCTCCATCTTTCGGCAACTCGTTAACTTTGAACAACCCACTCAGTCAGCGGCTTCATCTTCCAGGCCCTTGCTGTCTCATATCTTGCCTACAGTTCTGCTTATTTGCAGTACCCTGGAATGCAAACTGACAAATTAGTAGACAGTGTCTCGGTAAATGCCACACCAGCAGAAATGCTTGCTGCCAAACAGAAGCAGCAGCTACAGACTTCACAGGATGACACCCCAAATCAATTCTGTTCTTTCAATTATTTGCAGATGGTGGGTAACCCTGATCAACAAGAAGACAATGTGGACGAGCAGTACCAGGAGGAGGGAGAAGAAGAGGTAATAAACCGTGGAACGTGGAGGCATGCTGGGGGCTGAGGATATTCCTGGATCTCGGAGTCTGCACATGGCATTAGCCTCTGGACATGATGCATAATCCACACATGTTCTCTCCTTCTGAGTGTCTTTGTCCTTGGAATAAAGGTTGACCCTGTGTATCTACCAGAAGCACTTGTGTCTGGGAATAATAGAAACCCATGCTGCACTGTGTATAAACAGAGGAGAAAATTACCATTCCTTTCCTTGGTTATCTTTAAACTACAAAAGGCTGGGATTCTCCTCCTGTGCCTTGGACTGGGGAGGCATCTCTCTAAAGAGGCAGGCAAGACACAGGTGTCTTCTAGTGGATTCTTGCTTTCTTCACAGCTGAGTGTGTGTATTCTTTACAGGCCCAGGGAGATCTGACTGAAGAGAAGAAGAGGGACCTGGAACGCAACGGCGAAGAGCCTTATGGTGAAAATGATGAAAACGTAGGTAGACAAACGGTTCAATAAATGTAGTGGAGAGCTGAGATTTGGCAGGGAGGAAGGGGTTACTGTTATTGGAGGTGGGCCTGGTCCAGAGGGTTTGCTGGTGTGGCATAATGATTAGAATGGTGGATTAGGACCTGGTGCAACAGAGTTAGAATCCCTACTCGCTGGGATGTTGTTCTGAGAAAAGAGTGGAGGAGAACAATGTTGTAAGCTGGTTTGGGTCCCCACTAGGGAGAAAAGCGCAGTAGTAGTAGTAGTAGTAGTAGTAGTAGTAGTAGTAGTAATTCAGTTGGCACTGTTTGAGTAGTCAGTTTGAGAGCCAGTTTGGTGTAATGGTTAAGAGCGGTGCTGTCTAATCTGGAGAACAGGGTTTGATTCCCCACTCCTCCACATGAAACCAGCTGGGTGACCTTGGGCCAGTCACAGTTCTCTCAGTGCTCTTTCAGCCCCACCTACCTCACAGGGTGCCTGTTGTGGGGAAAGGAAGGGAAGGTGATGGTAAGCTGCATTGAGACTCCTTCGGGTAGTGAAAAGCTTTTCTTCCTCTTCTAGTCAGCTGACCCAACATCTCAATCCATAGTTGGGGTAAAAGTTAGAAATCATAGCCCAAAGACATAAGGACTCACCTTTACTTCAAGGAGCTGAGCAATGCTTATACTGTTCTCACCTTCCCATTTTCTCCTCAAAACAACTCTGTCTGATAGGTTAGCTGAGAGAGTGTGACTGGCCCCAGGTCACCCAGAGAGCTTCTTAGCAGTGGAAGGATGTGAACCCAAGTGTTTCAGATCCTAGTCAGACACTGCACTGGTTGCTTGGCACATTTCACGTTGCCACTAGAGTTTTATCACCACCCTAGGTTTGTAACTCCGTAGCAAATATACCCCTGTAGAATAGAACTAGGTTGAGGCTCTGAAGTTCAAGACTTCCTGACTCAAAGCATTTGAGCACCTGCATTCATGCAATGATGCTGATTGGTTCTCTGCTGCAGCCTCTGGCTCCCTGATATGTATTGTACGTTGTGCTGTAGATGATGCAGTAGCACCAGAGGCATATTTTTTTGCTCTGTTTTCAAAATGCTGGATGATTTGTTGGCACTGTACTAAAATTCTCCCACCCTGTCCACTCAGGCTGAAGAGAAAATGAGCGAAGGTGCAGATCAAGAACAAGAAATTCAAGAAGAAACCAACCCCAAAGAAGGCCGCGATGAAAACTACGAGGAGGAAGAAGAGGAGGAGGAGGAGGGTGGCGCCGTGGAAGCCAAAGCCCACAGAAGAGGAGAGATGTGAAGCTTGGTTAAACCACACAAAGAGTCACTCAACAAACTGGTATCAGCTTGGGAGAAAAAAAAATGTAGAGGCTGGAGGATAGGACTTACCTTCTTATATATCTGTTTTCAGGGTTTTTTTTTTTATTTGATGCTCTCAAGCCGTTTATATAAACGCAGTATTTTGTTAGATTAGCATTTCTTTTGTATCAATTTGTATATGACAAGAAACAGAACACAATTTTATAGTGTTTTTAAAATTTGGGTATGTCTTTACCTGAAAATCTATCGGCATTGTCCGAATAGCATCTGACGTTTAGTTTCTGATGGGGGGCAAAACCCTAGTGCCTACACTTGGTATATGTTCAAAGGCTGGGGGGGGGGGGGGGGGGGGTTGCCATAACTGAAAATATACAACTTAATATTCATAACTGGCATGTTGATTAGTTAATCCACAAAACTGCTGCAGCTCAAACACTGACTCTTTTGAGTCGTTTACTGGGCACACGCAAGGTCTCATAATAAGTAATAAATATACACAGGAGCACCTTGCGTGATTGTTTTAGTGCACTTGAATAAACATATGCATGGTTTGGAATGCTGCCAACCATTCACCTCTATCATTTCCCTTTCATAAAACATCTCCAAGAAGCCCTTTACACACATCCAAATCTTTGCCTGCCATTTCCTTCACATTTTGGTTATCCCAGCTTCCCGCCTAACCCCCTCCAGTACACCTTATCTAAAATATTTCATTTTCTTTTTTTTAAAAGCCACATTTGATTTCACAGTCCAGCCACATTTGGTTCTAAAATCCCTGAGCTAAAGGGACATGGGTTGTGATTATAGGGATAAAAACTTGCCTACCTTGCTCTCTTTCCACAGATTTCCAATTTCAGTTGCACTTCTTGAACAAGCTGAGAAAGAACCATTAGTTCAGTGGTAGAGCACCTGCTTTTACATGCAAAGATCCCAGGTTCAATCTCTGGCATCTCTTGGGTTCTTCCCAGCTCTCAGTCAGAGCCTTCATACATACCCAGCAGGCTGGGCCTGGCCAGCCTAGTGCCTTAACGGACAGTAACCTTCAGTTAATAGGTATTGGACCTGAATCTCACCTGCAGTGACTATATAAAGGATACCTGGCATTTGGTGTAGCCCCTGAGGTAGCATGCTAGAAGTGACAGTGTTTCAAATCACCACCCCCCTTTGCACATACACACACACAGTGCTACCTGGGAACTGCTTCCCGATGGTGAGATCCAACATGGCGGCAGTATATGTACACACATTGCAGTGCTGTGAATGGGACTAATCGTGTGGGTCTTTTCCCTTTCTTCTGATGGGGAAGGGGTTGAATGGGAAGATCTGAGCAGTGAGTCATGTGGTTGCCCCCTACACACATATCACAAAGGGGGTGTGGCTCAGTGCAGGGTCCTGGGTTCAGACTCTGACATTTCCAGTTAAGGGATCATAAATTGCAGGTGTTGGGGAAGACCTTTCTCTGCCTGAAACACTAAAGAGCTGCTGCCAGTTAGAGTAGACAGTACTGAGCTACACTGGCCAATGGTTTGACTCACTATAAGGCGGCTTCGTATGTTCATATTTAGTGCTCGTGCTGCCCGGCGTGCCAAAGAGTGTGCCAAGCTCTGACCTTACTCAGAGGTGTTTTAATTTTTAATATCAGGACACAATCCACAAGGTTTTAAAAAGGGCACAGGCTGGCAGATTTATAGATGTTACACTTTAATGGTTTGCTTATAGAGACCTATCATTTGACACTGAAAATCAGTTTAACATCAGGGAAATGGTTCATGGGGAAAGTCCCTCTGCCCACATGCCATCGCCCATGATGGTCAGTGGTGGAACATTGCCTTGGCTTGCAGAAGACCCCAGGTTCAGTCCCCGGCATCTTCAGTTCAAAGGGTCAGGGAGTGGATGAGGTGGACGACTCTGCTTGAGACCTTGGAGAACGGCTGCCAGTCAGATGGACTCATGGTCAGATCAAGGTTTAAGGCCGCTTCATGAGTTCACCCTGTTCCAAATCAGCCCTCCCTTCTTTCCCAGCCAGTTTATAAGCCTTAAAAACCTGCAGATCGGTTCACAAATATCTCACCACTATATCTGCTTTGAGGAGCTGCGGTGGCTCAAGTGGTTAAGATGCTGAACTGGAGGCTGTGGAAGGTCAGTAGTTCAGCAGTTTGAGACCCGGGTGCCCCAAGACGGAGTGAGCTCCCGTCTCCAGTTCCAGCTCCTGCCAACCTAGCAGTTCGAAAGCAAGAAATTGCAAGTAGATAAATAGGTACCACTTCGGTGAGAAGGTAACAGCGTTCAGTGCACCTTGGTGTTTAGTCATGCCGGCCACATGACCACGGAAACGTCTTCGGACAGCGCTGGCTCTTCGGCTTTGAAACGGAGATGAGCACCACAACCCTAGAGTCGGATGTAGTGGTTAAGTGTGCGGACTCTAATCTGGGAGAACCGGGTTTGATTCCCCACTCCTCCACTTGCACCTGGCTGGATGACCTTGGGCAAGCCATAGCTCTGATAAGAGCTGTTCTTGAAAAAGAGCAGTTTCTGTCAAGAGTTCTCTCAGCCCCACCTACCTCACAGGGTGTCTGTTGTGGGGAGGGGAAGGGAAAGGAGTTTGTAAGCCGCTCTGAGACACCTTTGGGTAGTGAAGGGCGGGGTATAAATCCAAACTCTTCTTCTTCTACCTTTTTATATCTGCTTTGGCCCCCGGTTTGATTTCCCTGACGTTCTGGATCTTAGTTGACTGATCTGTCATGGAGGTGGAACGAACGGTGTCCGGGCTATACTGCATCGTAGTGTGGTCCGAAGCTCACATGACTTAAGGCTTCTCCACATGAAAACATTCCCTGTGTATAGAAAATGAGCATATGAGGGACAAGGGCTGTACTTTGTCTTGCCCTTGACACCCTAGCTTTTTATGGAGGAGTGACCATCACGTGAGCCCTCAGCCACGTGCACAAATGTGAAGAGTTCTTCTGACAACTGCGAATGGACGTCAATGACGAGAGATTGCCTGAAACCCACTTTGGTATTACATTTAGCGACAGAAGTAAGATGCAGACAGCAACCTGTCAGCTGCACATATTTGTCCAGGGCAGTGTGTTTAATATACACCAGAGATCCCTTTGTGTGTGAAATGTGGCAGGCCACATAGGTCCAGTACAGACATCCCAATCACCCTCCCCACAGGGTACTATTTTTGTTGGGCTTCGTTCTTCCTGACAAGGGTAAAAGCTGTCGTCACTTAGGGAATGGTCACAGATGATACGTTTCTCCCCCCCCCTCGTTTTGTTTTTGCTGTCAGGTTGCAGCTGACTAATGCAACCTCCTAGGGTTTTCAAGACAAGACATCCAGTGGTGGTTTGCTATTATCAGGTTCTGCATAGTCAAGATCAATGTTCCCTCTAAGCTATGGAGTCCTGTGAGCAAAAATTCTACTTTGTGACCTACTGACATTAAAGTTGTGAGCAGGTAGTTTGGCTACTGCATAAATTAGTTTGCTCTGGAGCCCTCCTTCCTGAGCTAAGACAAAAATGTGTGAGCCGGAGGCTAAAAAACTGTGAGCTAGCTCACATTAACTCAGCTTAGAGGGAACACTGGTCAAGATATCTAGCAGTGGTTTGCATAGTAACCCAGGACTTCCTTGGTGGTCTCCCATCCAAATGTTAACATGGGCTAACCCTGTTTAGCTTCTGAGATCTGATGAGGCTGGGCTCACGTGGCCTATCCTAGCGATGGAGAGTATTTTTAGCTGCATTCTACAAGGTTCCTTTGGCGGCTGCAGACTGTGGGGACCGATGAACCAAGTGCTCCCCCTGTGTTGTACCCACCACAGAGGTATGTTCTTTCTGTCCCTAGTTTAATGCCCCGACAGCCTAATTCTACTTCACAAAGGGGTGCAGCCTGAAGTTAATCAGAGTTGTGTAAATCCCCTGCAGTTGGGAATTGCCGCTTGTGATTTTTCAGGCGCTCACCCTCTCCTGCCCCCCATGGAAAGGACTGGAAAGGACTAGAGCTCAAGAATTCCACCTTCTTTGCTCTCACTGCCGTGATCGTTTCTCCCAACAGTATCATTGGGACCAGAAGGGCATTGGCTGATATGTTTCCCCAGGATACCTGCCATGTTTGCACATATGTAGTGTGGTAGGGGAAGTCAGGGGGCACCGCCAGTAGCATCAGGTGCAGGATGGCTCTTCTAGAAGAGCAGTGGACGTTGCCTGGCAATTATGGCCTCCGTGATCCTGGTTTAATTCATTCAGGCCCTTTCCCATTCTGTTCTGTCGTGGAATCCCAAATGTGTCCGGTGGCCTGCTAGCCGTTGTCCTCAGCTGTGCCTCGTGCTTGTGGCGGTGGGGATGCTGTAATGTGTGTCTTGGCATGCCCTCAGATAGCACAGCGCCATCCTGGCTGTGATTTTTGTGTGTTTTCCTGGGTTACTCTTCCAGGGTCTGCACTTGGCAAGATCTGCAGCTGGAATGCTGAGGTCCTATCTGCAGACAAGCTGTGTTGCCTGTTGACATCTTTCACGCTATCCTGTCCCTAGAAATGGTAGAGATACGTCGTACAGAAGTGATTTTGATCCGGAAAACAGGGCTGGATAGCTGCTAAGTGCAAAAGGCTTTGCCGTATACAGTATGAAAGCATCTCAGAACTGTTTTCGGCAAGGGTTGGATTTCACAAGCCAAACATACAAGGCTTTTGAGGCAGACAGATCAGTGTGCGAAGGGGTTACCCAAAGCTAGGGAAGTCTGGATTTTCTGTGTATCTTGCACAGTCTCACTTCGGGAACTGTGCACGTGACAAGCCAGTCATGGTACCCCCCCCCATCCTTCAGGAGCACGGAATTCTCCTCCCTCAGGTAGAAAATTCTACTTCATTCCAACTGTGGAGACTATTTAGCCACAGAGGCTGGCTGACTGATGGACAGCATCTCCCTGTCTCCTTTAAGAAACCGCATAGGATTCATAACTGAAGGTTTCTGTTACTTCAGTCTTCTTTTTATATATATGTGATTGTAGTATAATTGATTTCATAATAGCCTGGTGAGAACTTGTTTTTGTAGATGTTCGGAAATGATTTCTTATATAGTTTTGAAAGTAAAAGCTGTCCTTAACATTTCACAGGACTAGATTCAGGTGGGTAGCCATGTTGGTCCGAAGCAACAGAACAAAGTTTGAGTCCAGTGGCACCTTTAAGACCAACAATATTTAATTCTGGGTAGAAGCATGCGGACGAAAGGTTATACCCAGGATTAAACGTTGTTGGTCTTAAAGGGACCACTGGACTCAGACTTTGTTCTGTTTCATAGGACTGTCTGTATCAGTGTTTATTTTTGGGTCTTCTAACTTCC